TGGCAGTAGTAGTAGTAGTAGTAGTAGTAGTAGTAGTAGTGGTAGTAGTAGTAGTAGTAGTAGTAGTAGTAGTAATCCCACCAGCCCTCTGGGCGTCGGTGGTTTAACGAGTTGCCTCTTCCACCCTTCCCTCTTCCCCTTCGGGGAGAGGTTTACCCCTCCCCCTACCCCCTCCCCACTGACCTGGGCAGGGGTATCCACGGCGCGTTGGAGCGCCCAAGATCGACCCCTGGGAGGGCTAAAATTCGACACCCCTCACGAGGATCGTGGCTCCTGAGGGCGGGGGGACTGTAATTACGGAGCCCCCTTCGTTAATCGATCTCCTCCAAGATGGCTCCGACGCCCCCCAAGAGGCCCCCAGGAGCCCCCCAAGAGACCCCCAAGAGGCCCCAAGAGACCCCCCCGAGGCACCCAAGACGCAGAAAAGCCCCTCAGGACGACCCTCTACTCGCCTGGTCGTCGTTTCTGGACGGGCTGGTGGGGATACGCGAAGCGTCTAGAATTGAAGTAGTAGTGGTAGTGGTAGTGGTAGTGGTGGTAGTAGTAGTGGTGGTGGTAGTGGTAGTGGTAGTGGTAGTAGTAGTAGTAGTAGTAGTAGTAGTAGTAGTAGTAGTAGTAGTAGTAGTAGTAGTAGTAGTAGTAGTAGTAGTAGTAGTAGTAGTAGTAGTAGTAGTAGTAGTAGTAGTAGTAGTAGTAGTAGTAGTAGTAGTAGTAGTAGTAGTAGTAGTAGTAGTAGTAGTAGTAGTAGTAGTAGTAGTAGTAGTAGTAAGTAGTAGTAGTAGTGTAGTAGTAGTAGTAGTAGTAGTCGTAGTAGTAGTAGTAGTAAGTAGTAGTAGTAGTCGTAGTCGTAGTCGTAGTCGTAGTCGTAGTAGTATAGTAGTAATAGTAGTAGTAGTAGTAGTAGTAGTAGTTAGTAGTCTTAGTAGTGTAGAGTCGTAGTAGTCGTAGTAGGCGTAGGAGTAGTGGCGGTGGGGCAGTAGTGCGGTAGTAGTAGAGTAGTAGTAGTAGTAGTAGTAGTAGTAGTAGTAAGTAGTAGTAGTAGTAGTAGTAGTAGTATAGTAGTAGTAGTAGTAGTCGTAGTAGTAGTCGTCGTAGTAGTTGTAGTAGTAGTAGTTAGTATGAGTGTAGTAGTAGTAGTAGTCGTAGTCGTGTAGTAGAATTAGTAGTAGTCGTCGTAGTCGGTCGTCGTCGTCGTCGTCGTCGTCGTCGTCGTCGTCGTCGTCGTCGTCGTCGTCGTCGTCGTCGTCGTCGACGTCGTCGTCGTCGTCGTCGTCGTAGTCGTCGTCGTCGTCGTCGTCGTCGTCGTCGTCGTCGTCGTCGTCGTGGTGGTGGTGGTGGTGGTGGTGGTGGTGGTGGTGGTGGCGTGTGTGGTGGTAGCAGTGGTGGCAGCGGTGGTGGCAACAGTGGTGGGGGCGGCGGCTGTCGTCGCCGCGGTGTTGGCGAGGGTGCTGCATGGGCGGCGGCGGTGGCGGTGGTGGTGGTGGCGGCGGCAGCGGCGAGCGCGGCCGCCGTTGGGGTTGAAGAGGTTCTGGGGGCGGCGGCGTTGGCGTTGCGGGCGCTGGGTGCCTCGGGCTAGTGGCAGCGGCGGCGGCGGGGGCCGTGGCGGCAGGGCAGCCAGTGGCAGTGGGGGCGGTAGTGGTGTTGGTCGTGGTGGCGGATGGGGCGGGTGGTGGGGGCCATGGCGGTGGTAGCGGTTGCAGTAGCGGCGGCGGCGGCGACGTTGGTGGGGTGGAACTGGTATTGGGGGCGGAAGAAGCTGGCCGCGGCGGTGGTAGTGGTTGTGGCGCGCTGCGTGGCAGACGTGGTGGCGTGTGTAGTGGCAGCGGCGGCGGCGGGTGCGATCGCGCTGGTGGGGTAGCGGTGTGTGTGTGTGTGTGTGTGTGTGTGTGTGTGTGTGTGTGTGTGTGTGTGTGTGTGTGTGTGTGTGTGTGGTGTGTGTGTGTGTGTGTGTGTGGTGTGTGTGTGTGTGTGTGTGTGTGTGTGTGTGTGTGTGTGTGTGTGTGGTGTGTGTGTGTGTGTGTGTGTGTGTGTGTGTGTGTGTGTGTGTGGTGTGTGTGTGTGTGTGTGTGTGTGTGTGTGTGTGTGTGTGTGTGGTGTGTGTGTGTGTGTGTGTGTGTGTGTGTGTGTGTGTGTGTGTGTGTGTGTGTGTGTGTGTGTGTGTGTGTGTGTGTGTGTGTGTGTGTGTGTGTGTGTGTGTGTGTGTGGTGTGTGTGTGTGTGGTGTGTGTGTGTGTGTGTGTGTGTGTGTGTGTGTGTGTGGGGGGTGGGGTGGGGGGGGGGGGGGGGCGGCTGTCAGTGCAGCAGCGGTGGCGGCGGCGGCGCTGGGCCTGGGTGGCAATGCCAGAGGCAGCGGCAGGGGTGTTGGCGGTGGCGGCGGTGGCGGCGGCGGCTTTCGCAGTAGTGGCGGTGGCGGCGGCGGTGGCCGTGTTTGTGGCAGCAATCACCAGCAACAAAAGAAGCAGCAGCAGCAGCAGCGTCAGGGGCTGCGCCCCCTTTTTTTGTTTTTCATATTTTTGCCCCTGCTGAGGGCTGGAGCCGCCACCTCTCCGGGCGCGCGGGCTCCGCGCGGGCCTCGAAGGCCCCCATGGCCACAAGGGGTCAGGGGCTTCCAGGGTTGGGGCGTCTGGGGCCCACAGCCCTGCAGCCTCCAGGGTATCCAAAGCCAGGGCCTCGGTGTCTTTGGGGCTTTCCGAGGAGGCCTGGCGCTTGCGGCGCCAGGGCTTGTGGGGGCCTCAAGGCCTTTGAGGCGCACCAAATGGTCAGCGCGCCTCTGCGTCTGACAGGGGGGCCCTGTGCCAGGCGCCAACCTTGCATGGGGGGCCCAGGAGGCCCTTAGGAGGCCCCCGGGGGCCGCAAATTGGGATTTTCTGGCTTTGCGCAGCGCGCCCGTCCCCGCACACGGCGCTCATTTGCCTAAATTCCACAATTCTAGAATATGCAAAGCCCATTGAGAGGATAAACCGCCTTACCTGCACAGAATTCTTTCTACAGTGCTTTCCCCTCCAGTGGCAATTCTACCACATTTTGGGAAGCTCCATTCCGGGGATCGTCCGCAGGGTCTCCGAGGCATTCAGAGCGGGGGAGCTTGGTGCGAATCGGGCCGAAACCCTGCACAGACGAGATAGCAGGCGCTCTCCTTCCCTTCCGCCGCCTAGCGAGGTCCTGGCGCCGCCAGCCCCAGGCACCCAAGGTAGCCTCGGGGGCCGCGCGGTGTGGCGCCCTGGGCCCTGGAGGAGCCTGACGGCCACGGGGGCCAACAGGGCAGCGGACAGCCACGCCCGCGGTTGAGGAAAAACATGCATTTTCGGGGGGGGGGAGGGGGGGGGGAGGGCGCGGGTGGTGCTGCGGCTGCTACCACCCTTGCACCCGCCACAGCCACCGCCCGCCGCCCCTAGCTTCCACCGCCCCAGCAATGTTGCCGCCATCGCCGCTTGTGGTGCATAGCTGCCCCCACCCCCGCTGCCGCCACTTCCATTGCAAGTGCGACCACTGTAGCGCCGCCGCGCCGATGACCGTTTCCGCCTCACCTCCGTTACTGCTGCAGCCTCCACCGCGCCCCCCACTGCCACGTCGGCTACAAACGCAGCAGCGACAGCCACCTAGTACCACTTTGGGGCCACCAATGCTGCAGCTACCCTCGCCCCCCTGTGCTCCGGCCGCAACCTCGCCGCTGCCACGACAGCCGCCGTTCGCGCGGCCACCGCTGCCACTGGTGCACCAACACTACCGCCGAGCCCGCTTGCTTCCAATCCTCCCTCGCCGCCGCTGCGAGGCTCCCTGTCATCGGGCCACTGCTGCCTGTCACCGTGCCTGAAATCGGGGCCGCTGGAGTCGATGCAATTGATTTGGCTCCCAAGCGGCATCACTCGCACAGATTTCCTTCTACAGTGCTTTGTCTGTCATGTGCCTATTTGCGAGGCCTTACATGTCAGCCCTCTCGCACTTGGAAGTATGTTGGATAGACACTGTAGTTCGATTCTTGTGCAAGTAAAGCGCGTTCAGAAAGTGTTGGTCGTCTCGAACTATGGAAACTGACTTTTTCAAGAGAGCTAGAGGGAGAGAGGGAGATGGAGAGAGAGAGAAAGAGAGAGGGAGAGAGAGAGATGGGGAGAGCGAGTGCGAGCGAAAAAGAGAGAGAGGGAGAGAGAGAGAGAGAGAGAGATAGAGGGGGAGAGAGAGAGAGAGAGAAAGAAAGAAAGCGAGAGAGAGAGAGAGAAACAACGAGAGAGAAATATAGCGATAGAGAGAGTGTGAGAGAGAGAGAGAGAGAGCGAGAGAGAGAGAGAGAGCGCGAGAGAGAGAGAGCGAGAGAGAAAGAGAGAGAGAGAGAGAGAGCGCGAGAGAGCGAGATAGAGAGAGAGAGAGACAGAGAGAGCGCGAGAGAGAGAGAGAGAAATAGAGAGAGAGAGAGAGACAGAGACAGAGACAGAGACAGAGACAGAGATAGAGACAGACAGAGAGAGAGAGAGAGTGCTTCTTTCTTGAAGTAGCGAGCAAAATGTGTTGGCCCAGCCGGGCTTGCGAGACCACGCCCGCCAAAGAACCCTGGGCCTAAGCCCTTCCCGGGGGTCAGAAGGGCTGGAGGAGGAGGGGACAGGAGGAGGAGCAGGAGCAGGAGGAGGGTGGCCGCGTCTGGACGACACCAGGGCCGAGAGCGAGAGAGAGAGAGAGGAGGAGGAGGAGGAGGAGGAGCAGGAGGAGGAGGAGAAGGAAGAGGAGGAGGAGGAGGAGGAGGAGGAGGAGGAGGAGGAGGAGGACGAGGACAAGGACGAGGTCGACGACGACGACCACGACGACGACGACGAGGAGGACGAGGACGAAGACGAGGACGAGGACGAGGAGGATGAGGACTAGGACTCTGGCAGCCATCTGGGGGTCTTCTTGAGGCCCTCATGGGGTCCCAAAGCGGTGCCCTGCCGATCCCGCGCGGCGCCTCCGACGTCCGCTCCAGACACGCCCGCGCGCGACGCGCCCTCTCGGGGAGCGCGGCGCGCCCTGCAGGAAGCGCACCCGCCGGAGGAGGGCGTGCTGCCCTCTGTGGGATCGGTGGCCCGCGCAGGGGTGGGCGGGTTATCGCGTCGCCCCCCGAGGCCTTTATTCCTCCTCCTCCTCCTCCTCCTCCTCCTCCTCCTCCTCATCATCATCATCATCATCATCATCATTGTCCTCGTCCTCGTCCTCTTCCTCTTCCTCCTCCTCCTCCTCCTCCTCCTCCTCCTCCTCCTCCTCCTCCTCCTCCTCCTCCTCCTCCTCCTCCTCCTCCCGGGTGGTGATCGCCAGGGGCAGCGTCAGGGGGAAGGGTAGGCCCGGGTGGGGGGAACGAAGTTACTAGGCTTCGTGCTTTCGGGTGTGTTAGTCGGTTCTCACCTCGCCGAGAGCGTTCCGGGTGTGCCCACATTGTTCCGAATGGCCGTTGGAGGCCCGAGTCATGCCCCGCAGGGGACGCGCCCGACCTAACAGTAGGGGGAGAAGGGGGATGGGGGGGTGGAGGAGTTGGTTTAAGGCTGAGTTCGGGGGTGTCTTGGATTTGCCTCTCTTCCCCCTCCTTCCCACTCTACCCCTCTCTCCCTCTGTCCCGCCGCTGCCCTGCTTCGCCCAGCGTCGTCTCCCTCCCCTCCCCTCCTCTCCGTCCTCTCCGCCCCCTCCTCTGCGCGCCTTCTTCCGCCCGCCGCGCGTCCTCCCCCTCTCCATCCTGCCTCCGCTCACCTACACTCCCTTCCCTCCCCGTCCCCTCCCCTTTTCTAATCCTTCACTTTTTCACTTCCTCAGTTCCCATCCCCTTCGCTGTGCCACTGTCCATATCTCCTCTCTTCGTTTTGTCTCCCTTCCTCCTTCCCTCTTCCCTCACCCTTCTCCCTCCTGGGCATGCTTCGACCAAGAGCACGATGAAAAGTGTGATAGCAGCACCCAGAGCGTATGCACATGCAGAAGCGTCGACGGCCACACAGCATGCATTAGACATAGAGGCAGAAACAAACCATGAAGGCGCGCAAACAGACAGCAACCAGACAGCGTTTGGCACAGCACACAGGGCGATTCAGCAAACCATGTAAACATGTTTGAGGTGCGATGCAACTCCATGTTACAATCTGGGGTTCCATGAATTCGATTCGAATCATTCCCTTCGCTCCCTCCGCCTCTCTTTTAAGCCTTCATACGCATGAGCCGCACGCGTTTGGCTCAAGCGCTCTGTAAGGGCAAGACGCAACGAGGCGGCCTCGTGGCGGAGGCCGACGCCCTGAAGAAGCCGGCCGCGCGGCTGGCGAAGGACGCCCAAGGCACCAAGCCGGGAGCGCGTTTGGATGCCTGCGCCGCCTTCGTGCAGCGTGCCGAGCGCCGCCTGGCCGCGGCGCACGCGGAGGCCGAGGCCGCGGAGGCGGCTGCGGCGGCCGCCCGGAGCCGGGTCGCCGAGCTCGACGCGGAGCTCACGGAGGGGCGGCGCCGCTTGGACGAGCTCCAGGCGGCCGTGCCGGAGCACGAGCTCGTGGCGGACGTGCGCATCTTGCTCGACGCCCTCGAGCAGGCGCCCCTGCCCGGCCATGTCGGCACGGGCCCCGGGCTGCCGGCACAGCCGGGAGCGTTTCGTTTGACGTTTCTCCCAAGCGTGAGGAATATGTCCCTAGTGCAGGTACGGAAGAAGATAACTCAATGTCAAGCTCCTTCCATTCGAAAAGGATGACGGAAGAAAAGCCAGAATTTGAGGACACTGTTGGAGCGATTTCGGCTTGTTCTGTCACAGACGCCTCAAGCTGAACATCCGCAAGACAGTCTTTGTGCCGCTCTTCCGGTTCGACCGCGACGAGCTTCGCGCGCGGGTGGCGCGAGCAGCCCCACTCTAGGGCGCCATCCCTATAGACGACAAGGCCACATCAATACTTGGGGATGTGGCTGGGCCCAGGGAGGGGCGCCCATTTCCGGACTTCTCCATTGGAAGTTCCAAGCTCGAGTGCGCTACTGGGGCGGCGTGGGCGCCGGCATGTTCCAGACGATGTCGGCGTACCAAGTCTATGTTGCCTCCGTGCTGCTCTTCGCGGCACAGCTCCTGCCGCTGCCGCCGGCCTTCGCTGCCGAAGAAAGGCGGGCTTGCGCCGCTCTTTTCCGAGGCCCGGCGAATTGGGTCACGGTGGAGGCCCTGCGGGACTTGACCTCGCTGCATTTCCCCGGGAATTTCCCTGACCTGCCGAGCGCCGCGGCCGCTGCGCGGGCGCGCGTGGCGCGCTTCGAGAATTCGGCCCACGGCGGGTTGAAAATCCGCCAGCGCGCGAGGACCCTCCGGAGGCTCTCTCTGCTGCCCGGCAACTGTGCCCGTGCGGCAGAGCGGGGGCCACTCATCCAGGTTTTTGTCATCTTCACCTGAAGGCCGCCACTGAAGCTTTGTCGCGGGCTGAAGCGACGCAGCGTGCCTCCCCTTCCCTCCTCGACCCGGCGTGCCCCGATGCCTTGGAAAAGGAGGGTTGGCAGGCTCGCGCGATGCGGGTTTTTAAGAACGCTGCGCGCCACTCCGCGGCGCGTAGCGAGCTCGATCATCGGCGCTTGCCTTCCAGGCCACCGTCCGCGTGCCTGGGCTCATTCCCTCTCTCTGTCTGCTCCTCGTCTTCCTCCTCGCGCCCAGGCGCGCCAGCTGCGCACGGGTTGAAAAGGCTGGTGCGCGGCCCGGCGAGGTGCCGCGGGGTGTGTACTAGGTAGCAAAATCGGCGAAGATAGCATTGAGCATTATGCATTCTGAAACCGTTTTCACACATTGTGTCAGAAACATTTAGGGTTCTCCCGCCCCCCCAACGGAGGCGTGCCTGGGGGATTTCTTAGGCGTCCTCCCATGCACTTCCTCCCTTCCGCCCCACCTGCAGACAGGTGCCGCCATTGCTTCGGCGGCAGCCCTCCGAGCACTTGGCGTCTATGCGATGTTTAACATGCAGAATGACACTCGTCATGGCCTCCCCGGGGCGATGGTCCCGACGCTTTCCTCGGGTTTCTCCGCGGGGCCGTTTGGGGACACCCCCCATCTCAAAGTTTGCTCCGCTCGGTTTTCAAAATGCCCCGTATGTGCTCCTAGCGTTCTTCCTCTCTTCCTTCTTCCTCCTGCTTCCCCTTTTTGCTCCTCCATGTCGTGGCACTCGTGAGCCTGGCCAGCTCTTCGGTGGTACCTTTAAGATTCAGTCTCTGCGCACCGCCGTTGGTCGCGCATCCGGGCCTCAGGCCATCCAGATTGGAACTGATACGTTCCAGGGTATTTCGTATCGTCTGAGGTCGTTGTTTCCTCTCTTCCTGTCTCTTCATTTTCTTTCGCCTTCCTCCTTCTCTTCCTTCGCCTCCCAGGTGTCCGGGTGCCGGAACTGTGTCGTCTCTTTCTCTGCGTTCGCACTGCCGTGTCCATGTGGACGCCTAGATTGCCGAGCGGTCGGGCGATGACCTCCGCGGTCTATAAGCCAGCTCGACTGCCCAGCGTTCCAGTCCGAAGGTGCGTGCGACGGCTCGCCTATTGCAGGTTGGTTTAAACGCTGCTCCTGGCTTCTGGCTCGCCCCTCTTGTCTCTCCTCCCCCCCCTCCTCCTTCGCCCTCCTCTCCTCCCCCCCTCTCTCTGCGCGAGCTTGCGGGCAGAACTTCGGCCGCGATCGCAGGACAACCCCTCAACAGTTTTAACTGTGGCTGCGCCGTCACCGCTCTTGCTGAGCAGGACAACCCTTTAACAGTTTTAACGCCCGTTGCGCCGTCACTGCCTGCTCATGCTGCATGGGATTGTGTTTAAATTGGGGCATATCATGGCATGGTGGCCAGACCGTGCAATTGCAACATTTCGTCTTACAGTCGCGCGTAGAGAGTGCCATGGGAGGGACTTAGCACTTGATTTGGTGGTGCTGGGTGTCGGGTGCACTGGTGGTGCCGGGTGCCAGGCGCATTGCCTCCTGTTCTAGCACCATTATTTGCAGATGTGCCATCCGTTTTTTGAGACCAAAAAAAAAGCCTCGACCCGGGGGCGTCGCGGCGGATGGCGAAGAAGTTGCAGAGCGAAGGAAGCGGGAGACCCGCGCGGCGCGAGACCAGGCTTGTCCCTACCCCCGCAAGGTCTCCCCAAGAGGGCCCAGGACGGCCCAGGAAGGCCCCCGCAGGCCTCCGGGGGAGCCCAAGGGAGGCCCCCAGGCACCCCCAAGAGAGCCCACGGAGGCCCACAGCTCCCTCGGACAGCGCAGGACAGCTTCTTCCACATCGCTCAAAGATGCCCCAAGAGGCCTCCCGAAGAGAGCCCCAACGGAGCTCCGAGACGCCCCCAAAACGGCCAGAGAGCCCCCTCCAAAACGGCTTCGGGTCTTGAGCCCAGTGTTCGATCCGATTCGGCCCGATCCGATTCGAATCCGATGTTCGGGCGATCTGATGCGGCCCGATGCTTAAATGGCGTCGTGGTGTATCCCAGCGCGGCCCGTCCGATTCGATTGCGAGTCCACGCCAGTGCAGCCCGATCCGACTTACATTACGATCCGATCCGACTTGCCGATTCGATGCTGACTGATCCTGCACTCCACCTCACCTCATCATCGTTTCACCGAGCCCGATCGCCAGCTAGGAACGGTTCCCACGACGTTAGGAGGGGCCCCACCGAGGCCCCAAAGGCGTTCCGAGCAGGCCCCAACGAGCTCCCAGGAGCCGCCCCAGAGGCATCCAGCGCGAAAGAGGGCCCCGAGAGGCCTTTAAGAGCTCCCAAGAGGCCCTAAGGAGAGCTCCAAGATGCCTCCAATAGGCGTCCAGAGCGGCTTATGGGGGCATGCGCAAGCCTCGGAACCGCATCAGAGGCGGAAGTGCGAGAACACACACACACACACATCGCAAATGTTCATTTAGTGCTTGCAATGATGTTGGCCGCTCGAGGGCTTCCCCCTAGCTCTTGGGGGACTCTTAGAGGCATCTTGGAGCGATAGTTGGTGCTCTTGGGGGCCCCCAGAGCCAACTAGAGAAACAAAAAAAGAGATGATGTTCTCCAATCCTGTGTTTTCAAGCTCGACCCCCCCCCTCCATTCCCCCGAGCGCGTTTCCGTTTCCCCCGTCCTTTGTTGTCCGTTATGTTTCTTCTTCTTTTTTTGTTTTCGGTTCTCCTGCGTCTCCCGTTCCACGCCCTTCTTCTTCCTCTCCTTCTCCTTCCTCCCCGCTGCGTTATGTAGTTGTCTCGCTCAGTCCGCCGGCCCGTATTGTGCCATCGCAGGCGTTTGCTTGCGCGTTCGTGGCCTCTTGGGGGCCGTTTGGGGGCCTCTTGGGGATTCTTTTTGGTCATCTTGAGGACCTCCAGGAGGCCTCCAGGAGGCCTCCTGGGCTCTCTTGAGGAGTGCCTCTTGGGGCCTCCTGGGGGCCTCTTGGGGCAGAAGGCTCGAACTGGTGGTTCGTGTTCCCCCTCTTGGGCCCCCATCCTGGGGCCCTCTTGGGCCATCTTGGGCGCCTCTGGGGCTGTTTAGGGGCCCTCTCAGACCGTCATGGGGCCCTCTTGGGGGCCTCTCGGGCCGTCTTGTGGCGGTCTTGGGGGCTTCTGGGGCCATCTTATAACGCGAGAGCGCGAAAAACACTGAAAACCATAAGGATTATCAATGATTGTTGCTTCTTTTGGCCAACTGTGGGGTCCTCTTGGAACGCTCTTGGGGCTTCTTTGGCGCCTCTTGGGCCATCTTAGGGCCATCTTGGGCGGCTTGGAGCGCTCTTGGGCCGTGATTCCGATCCGTGGGCTTTTTTGGTGCTGCTTTGAGGTTCCTTGGGTCGCTCATGGGGCGATCTGGAGGGCCGCCCCCTGGAGTTCCGGCATCCTTGGGCGGACCTTGCTGGGATGACCGTGGGGGGTTCTAAGTGGATAGGGGGGTTACACGTAAATGCTAAGGTGGGTTATATCTGGCCCAATCTGGCTTATACGTGGGTTACAAGCGCCCCGAATGGCTTAGGGGGGATAGATAACGGGGCTAAGTGGGCGGAGCCCACTTAGCCCGGATCAATAAACCCTCTAAGCTACTTAAGCACTCGGAACCCGTTTATTGGCAAGGTTGGGCCAGATATAAACCACCGTGGCATCCACATGTACCCCCCCTTTCCACTTAGAAACCCCCACGGTCATCCCAGTGCCGGGACCTGAGTCGGCCAGGGTATTTTTCATCTGGGGACCCCCAGGGGCAGCCCTGCGCGCCCGAATTAGAATATAAATGTACTCTGTGAACCAAGTCACCGGAGAGCTTAGCACGCCTTTGGTCCGTTGGTCCAGCGAATGTTCCCTCCCCCTTCCTCCTCGTCCTTCCCTCACGCCTTTCTCTCTCCGCCTCCCTCATGCGTTTCCCTCTCTCCCCCTCATCCTCATCTCTCCGTCACTCCTTTCTCCCTCCGACTCCCTCACCCAGCATCCTGCTCCAGTGGTAGGAGACCCAGCTTGACAAAAAAGGGAATTCCCTCAAATCCCCGTTTTTCAGGGTGTACCCTCCCCAATCCGTTTCCTCCTGTCCCAGGCTTTGGCGTGCCCCCGAGTGCGCTGCCGTTTTCCCCAGTCCTCTGTGTCTCTTTCCTGTTCTTGGTTCTCTTCCGCCTCCCGTTCCACATCTTTCTTCCCTCTCTCTCCCTCCCTCCTCCCTACAGCCTCATTGTCCCTCCTCCCTCTTCCCCGTCTCTCCTTCACGCCTTCCTCTCCCCGCCTCCCTCATGCTCTTTCGGCTCTCCCCCACCCCTCGCCGTTCTTTCTCCCTGATCTCTCCCATGCTCTGGGTTCTTCTGCGTCTCCCGTTCCACGTCCTTCTCCTTCCTCTCCTTCTCCTTCCTCCCCGCTGCGTTATGTTCCTTCTCCTTCCTCTCCTTTTCCTTCCTCCTTCTCCTTCCTCTCCTCCTCTTTCCTCTCCTTGTCCTTCCTCTCCCTCTCCTTCTCCTTCCTCCCCTTCTCCTTCCTTCTCCTTTCCCCCCATCCCTCCTCCATGCCCGGCTCTTCAGTGACCTGGGCCTCCGAGGGCCTCCGTGGAACTCCTGGGGGGACTCTTGGAGGCCTCTCGGGGCGATCTCTGGCGTCCTCGGGGTCCTGCACGGCCAGCTTGAGAACAAAAGGGAATCAATGAAAGTCTTCTTTGTCAAGGTCGCCCCCCCCTTCCCGTTCCCTCCTGTCCCAGGCCTGGGCATGCCCCCGAGTGCGTTTCCGTGCTCCCCATCCAGTCTTCCTTGTCCTCTCTCTCTCTCTCTCTCTCTCCCTCTCCCTCTTGCTCTTAATGTTCCTCCGCCGCCCATTGCACATCCGTTTCATTCTTCGCCTCCTCCTTCTTCCCCGTTGTGTCATTCTCCCTCTTCCCTCCTTCTTGTCTCTCCTTCACGCTTTCATCTCTTCGCATCCCTCATGCGTTTCCGTCTCTCCCTTTCCTCAGCCTTATCTCTCTTTTTCATTGTTTCCTCTCTCTGCCGCCCTCACCCAGCATCTTGCCCCACTAAGTGGTAGGAGGCCCAGCTTGAGAAAACGGGAATTCCCTCAAATCTTTGTTAATTCAACGTCGACCTCCCCCCGCCGTTTTCTCATGTCCCAGGCTTTGGCGTGCCCCCGAGTGCGTTTCCGTGTTCCCCATCTTTCGTTGTCAGTTCTGTTTGATCTCTCTCGTGTTGTTGGTTCTCTTCCATCTTCCGTTTAACAATTGTATGTTTCTGTTTCTCTTTCCCGCTGCGTCATCGTCTTTCCCTCCTCCTCCTCCTCCTCCTCCTCCTCCTCCTCCTCCTCCTCCTCCTCCTCCTCCTCCTCCTCCTCCTCTATCTGTCAAGCCTTCCTCTCTCCGCCTCCCTCATGCTTTTTCGGCTCGCCACGCTCCAAGACGGCCCACGAGGTCCCCAAGACAGCATCAAGGCAGCTTACGACGTCCCCGCGAAGGCCCGAATCCAAACCAAGAGAGCGCCAAGACGGCCTAAGAGGCCGCCAAGACGGCCCCAAGACAGGGACAAGGGCGGGGATCCAGACCAAGATTTCGAGCCGAGACGCCAGGGGGCCCCGAGGTGCCCCAAATAAGTCCTTAGAGGCCACCAGGAGACCCCCAACAAAAACAGGAGAGCCCCCCCCAGAAATCCCCAGTAGCCATCCAAGCGTCCCCGAAAGGCATCCAAAGAGACTCCCAGCATGGTTTTGCCAGGCCGTTAGGGCCTCTCGGTCATCCCTCCTTAGGCTGCCCTGGCTCCTCCTCGTGGCTGCCTTGCGCGACTTCCTGGAGCCTAATTCAGCGACTCGCCTGAAGCGTCCATCAGGAAGTACGCTCCCATCTGGTGGTCCTTTCGGAATGATATCCATCCTCATCTGATCCTGTGAGGCTGGCTTGGATTGCGCGATATACCCACAGCGCGCACGAAGCGCGCGCGGTTCTAGTCCTGAGACAGCTGTTGAGGGGAGATCCCCAGGATCCAGACTGCCCCTGGACGCCGAAAAATATCGAAAAGCAGCGCGATGCCTTCGCGTCGGCTGGAGTGCCCAAGATCCCGAGCCCAAAGTCGAGTCCTGGACCCGTCCAGGTGTGCGCCAATCTGTTCCTCGATCCTCGATGTTTTGGGTATGCGCGCTGTGCGGACAGCCGACTGGACGTAAGAGTGACCTTTCGCCGGGAGTGACCTTCAGTGCGGGCCCAACAGGGTCCCCCGATCCCCGAACGCGATGCGACAGTAGCCTCTTGCGCGCCTGGGTCTGGCCCCCTCGCGCCCCCCCAAAAGCCGCGCACCAGAGGTCCATCGTGCCCAGGGCCACTCCTTGCGCGTGGTCGAGGACAGCGCGGGGCCCGCTGTGCGACCTGGGCCCGGGCAGGTGCACATGGCCACCAAGCCCGTCCTGGGGCTGTTCTCGGGCCTGCGCGGCAACAAGGCCGGCGGGCCCGCCGGACGGCGGCCCGGCACGCTCCGCGCAGGGGCCCGTCAGTAGGGAGCCGGGGGCGGCCAAGAGGGGGGGGGAGATCATGGCGTGGGCCATGATATCTCCCCAGATTTCATGGCGCCTCTTCCTGCTTCAGTGCGTCCCCGCTCCCCCCCTTGGGCCGCGCACGTGCTGCCGGCCATGAGTTGGGCCCCCCCTCTTGGACGCCCCCTTTCTGGGCCGCCCCCGAACGAAGGAAGGAGACCCGAGTCGAAGTTTCTGTCAGGGGCAGCGCTGGTGGTGCGCATGTGCAGGGAGTCATGACGTTCCAACCTTCTTTAGCCTTGCTCACCAGAAAGACTTTCGAGAGCAAGGAAGTACCGACACTTGGGTATTTTCACGTGTCGGGCCTTGGGAGGCGATACTCGTTCGAAATTGTTTCGATACCTTCCTGGGTGCTCGAAAATATTTCTGGGATGTGGTCCTTACGTACGATGGGAGCCACAGAAGCAGGGGGGAAAAGGTCGACCCCGAATCGCCCATGGATCGCCGATGGGCTCAGACCATTTTCCCACTTAGGCTGTGCCTGAGGGATTCTGCTCTGCTCAGGAGGGGAGAAAAAACACAGACGCAATGAGTCGTCGACTCCCAGGAGAAGACGGGAAAATATTCCGAAAAGTGGGGGGGGCGACGACGACCCAGAAAATATGGGGAACAATCCAAGGACTTGTGTCTGTTTATTCGTGTGTCCCAGGGCCCCTTGGAAGACGGCGGGTGTGGCCCCATTGAGTGAAAGAGGACGGTGGGTGCGGGGCCCCTCCCCCTCAGCACTCCGCGGGGTTGCCGCCAAAGGGTTGCCCCGCAGCACCAAGCCACGCCAGGCAGCACCCGGCAGCGCCAAGCAGTGCCAAGCAGCGGTATCTTCGGAGCAGCGGCAAGCAGTACAGTGCAAATGCCATGCAGTGCCAAGCGCTGCAAGGCAACGCAGATCCATGCCAAACAACGCTGGGCAGCGATGTCCCAGACCATGCAAAGCCAGTGCCAAGAAATGCCCAGCCATGCCAGCTAACGACAAACAATGCCAAACAAAATCAAGCGATGACAAGCAACGCCGAGCAATACCAAACAATGGCAAGCAACGTTAATGAACGCAAAGCCATGCAAAGCAATGCCAAGCAATGGTGTGCAGTGCATTACGTTGCGTTGCTCTGACCTGCTTTGTATCGCTTTGGAAGAAGCAGGCCCCTAGTTATGGGTCGTGCTGGCTTAGTTGTGATGCACGCACGATGCACATACGACGCACTCACCGCGGCCTCATTTCTGTGTTCCTCCTCTTCCTCGTCCGTCTCGTCTCTCCTCCGTGAGCATCTGGCTTTGGACGTTCGTGCGACGGTGGTGGCAGTTGGTCATGGCGCTTTGATGTCCAGCGAATTGGGGCGCCCAGCTCGTACATGTGAGCTGCTGGACAGGGCTTGCAGTGGAAACTGGTGTCCTGTTCGCGTGCATAAAGAACTAATTGGGCGAATGCGCATGCGGATGCTAGTTCATATAGTGTGGTCTCTGTGCGCACGTCGCAGGATAGCCGTAAGGCCGAAAGCCGCCACACAACACGCTGAGGGAGAGCGCGAGGTTCGGCGATGGAGAGTGTGACGCGTGCTCGGCACCGGCCATAGCGCTGCGCTCACCGCCGCATGCGGCGCTCACGGCGGCGACCGCGATGGCCGCGGCCGCCTCGGCCCAAGCCGCACCAGGGCCGCCCGGGCGGCGCTCGGGGCGGCGTGCCCGGCGGAGCCGCGGCGGCGCCGGGGCGGCCCCGAAATGAAGCCAGCGGCGGGCGGCCGCGCCGCCCTGCTGCTGTGGGCGGCGGCCGCCCCCGCCGGTGAGGCGCCGCCGCCGCCGTCGTCGGCGGCGACGGCGGGGTCATCGTGGTGCCCGTCGTGGTCGTGGTCGCGGTCGTGGTCGCGGTCGCGGCGCCCGTCGCGGTCGTGGAGGGAAGGTCTCCAGGCGGGGGAAGGTCGAAGAAGAAAAAGCAGCATCATAAGCAGAAAGTTTGGTGCCCGTCGCGGTCGCGGTCGCGGTCGTGGTGCCGGGTCATTCAGGAGGGGAAAAACACAGACACAATGAAGCGTCGATTCCCGGAAAATCATACGGGAGAGTGTGGACCATGGGGGGGGAGACGAACACATCCAGAAAGCATGGGAAAGCACTGGCAATCTTGGGATTTATGTGTATTTATTCGTGTGTTCCAGGGCCCCTTGAGTCGCGATCGTGAAGGGAAGGTCTTCAGGAGGGGAAGGTCGAATAAGAAAAAGAAGAAGAAAAAACAGCATAAGCATAAAGGTGTGGCGCTCCGCGCAGATACCTTGGATCCGCGCTGAACCCCCCCCCGGCGGCGCCTCTGGCGCCGCCCCCGCGCCAGGGTGGGGGGCCCAGCGCAAATGCAAGACAAATCTGCGCGGAGCGTCAAAAGTTTATGTTTATGCCGTTTTTTTTTTTTTTTTCTTCTAGAGGAGGAGGGGATGGAGGAGAAAGGCGGGCGAGCGAGGAGGAGAGGAGGGGGGATGGGGGGGATGAGGAGGGGGGGCAAGAAGAGCAGGAAGAGGAGAGTAAGAACGATAATGCAGGAGCTATTGGAGCCAATGGCTAAGCACAGAACCTGGGCCCCCTCCATCCGTGGACCCCCCGACCGACCCTCTCCCCCGCCACTCTTCCACATCCTCACGGCACCCTTCCCCCCAGTCTGGAGCACCCCATCCCCCCCGCCCCCGTTCGAGCGGGCGACTCCCGCGAGCACCGGTCCTGCCTCCCCCCCTCTCTCGTCCCACCCCTCCTGCGCCCTCCTGCCCCAGCCCTTCCTCTCCCTCCTCAGCCCCCTCTCGCCCGCCCTCGCTGCCGCTAAGTGGAACGGAGGGACGACGCACAGCGCTCCCCCGTGCGCAGCGGCTGACCTGCGCGGCGGCGGCGGCGACGGCGGCGGCCGCGCCGCTGGAAGGCCGCCGCGTCGGCGGCGCTGCGGAGCCTCAGCCGCCGCAGCTCCGCGGCCTCCGCCGCGTCCGCGGCCGCGCCGCTGGAGCTCGCGGGAGACGCGCCCGCGCCGCGCCGCGCCGCGGCTTGGGGGCGACGGCTCGGGGTCGACGACGGACGACGACGACGACGACGACGACGACGACGACGACGACGACGACAACGATGACGACGACGACGACGACGACGACGACGACGACGACGACGACGACGACGACGGGGCTGACGACGACGACGACGACGACGACGACGACGACGACGACGGGGACGCTGGCGTTGCGGAGTTTGTGACTGTTCGGCTGTGGCCTGGATCCGTTATTCGCGGGCTGATTCCGCTGCGCACCGCGCGACGGCGGTGGCCGCGCTTTAATTTCGCAGTTGTTCGTTGCTCGGCCGTAGGAGTCGTGTTCTTTCGCAAGGTTCACCAGCTGACCAGTTGCATCCGTTGGTGGACAAGTCTGTTGTTGGCCACGAGTGCGCCATTTGCGGCGCGACCAGTAGCAGACCGTTTAGTGCTCGGCGGCCGAGGGCTCAGCATGTGGCGTAGTCAGTGGCAGGTTGCTTCAAAGTTTGGCGGCTAGAGACGCAGCTTTTCGCGCGCGCAACCCATGGTGCACCCCATGGATGGCGCAACTGGATAACGCAATCGTACATGGCACATCCCATGACGCAACCTATGGTACAACCTGTGGATCGCTCAATCAATGGCGCAACCTATGTGGGGCAACATATGGCGCCACCCTCCGATCCCCCAACCGATGGCGCAACCAGTAGATCTGGCAAGTTCTACTCCTCTGCGCCCGACTTAAAAAATTCTTGCCATTGGCGGTGCCTTGCGATTCGGCGTCTCTGGGGGTTCTCGTCGCCAGCGCTGGGCGCAGCTCGAAGAACTTGCCAGGGTGGCCCCCAGGAGGGGCCCAGGGATCGATGCCGAGCGGATCTTTCAGTCGGGCGACGACAGACGACATTGGACACGACGGCGGCTGCGGCGACGACGGCGGCGACAACGATGGGGGGGGCCCGATTGGCGCCCGCACTTCTGGGCCGCCAGCGGGGGGGGCTCACGCCGCCACGCCTACTTCGCGCGATCCTCTGATTCGCGGCATTGCAGCCGAGTGCACGCACAGAACCAACAAGATCGAGACTGGACAGGATTCGTTTATCTGGGGTCGAGGATGGGCTCTGGACAGAGCTCCTTGTCGCTATCGGCGCAACGAGCCAGAGGCTTCATCCCTCCTTAATTACGAGGCCTTCTTGGGGCCCTCTTGGGGGCCTCTGGGGCTGTCATGGGGCCATCTTGGAGGCCTCGTGGGCGCCCTTGGGTCGACGTTGGGGGCCGCTTGGGCCGCCTTGGGCCGTCGGAGAGCTGGGCAGGAGCAAAAGCCAACATGCATCAAAAACCTTCAGGGAAATCAATGATGTTAAGCCTCTCGGGCCTTCCTGGAGAACGTATTGGAGAGCTCTTGGGCAGTCTTGGAGGCCTCTTGCGGGCCTTCTGGGCAGTCTTAGGCCATCGTGAGGCCATCATGGGCCGCCTTGGGTGCATCTTGGGGCCATCTTGGCCGCCTTGAATGCCACCTTGGCCGTCTGGGAGGCATGTTGGAGGCCATCTTGGCCGTCTTGGAGGCCACCTTGGGCGGCCTGGGGACCTCTTGGGGCCTTCTTGGGGCCCTCTTGGGGGCTTCTGGGGCCGTCGTGGGGCCATTTCGGAGGCCTCTTGGGCGCCGTGGGGGCGACGTTGGGGACCTCTCGGGAAGTCCTGGGCCGTCGGAGAGTCGAAAAGAAGAACTTGCTCAGCACTTCTCTCTTATATATATATATATATATATACACACGCACACACCTACAACGAAGACAAACCATGATTGTCACCCGTTGGATCATTCCTGGAGGAGCTCTTGGAGGCCTCTTGGGGACCTCTTGGGCAGTCTTCGGTCAGCTTAGAGTCACCTTGGGCAGTCCTGGAGACTTCTTGGACGAACTCGAAGACATCTTGGACTCTCGCGGGTCGCTCTGGAGGACAACTTAGACCATATTGGGCCATCTTGGAGGCTATCTTGGACCAACCTGACCATCTCGGAGACCAGATTGAAGCACCCTGGCTTGTTCCCAACCATCCTGCGGTTTTGGGTCCTCGTTTTGAAGAGACGGCGCCCTTCGTTATCCTCCTCTCCTTCCTCCTCCTCCTACTTCTCTTCCTCTTCCCCCCTCCATCGCAGCCACCATCGTCAGCATCATCGGCATCATCGCCACCATAATCATCATCATCATCCTCATCATCAGCAGCAGCATCATCATCAGCATCATCATCATCATTATCACCCATTCCAGCACATCCTCACACGTTTCGTGGCCCCAGAGGGAACTCCACCGAAGGCGCCAATGGGACCGCCCGCATGCGTCACGCACCACCCAGTACAGCGCTCCGTGGCCACACAGGGAGCCTCCACCGAAGGCCCCGATGGGACCGCCCGCATGCGTCACGCACCACCCAGCACAGCGCTCCGCGGCCTCAAAGGGAGCCCCACCGACGGCCCCAATGGGACGGCCCGCATGCGCCCCGCACACCCAGCACAGCGCTTCGTGGCTCCAAAGGGAGCCCCACCGAAGGTCCCAGTGGGGCCGTCCGCATGCGTCGCCCCCAGCCAGTACAACGTTCCGTGGCCCCATAGGGAGCCCCACCGAAGGTCCCAGTGGGACCACCCGCATGCGTCACGCACCACCCAGTACAACGCTTCGTGGCCCCAAAGGGAGGAAGCCACCGACGGCCCCAGCGCCGCCGCCCGCCGTCACGCACCACCCAATACAGCGCTTCGTGGCCCCATAGGGAGCTCCACGTAAGGCCCCGATGGGACCGCCCGCATGCGTCACGCACCACCCAGCACAGCGTTCCGTGGCCCAGAGGGAGCTCCACAGACGACCCCGATGGAACCGCCCGCATGCGCCACGCACCACCCAGTACAGCGTTTCGTGGCCCTATAGGGAGCTCCGCCGAAGGCCCCCGTCGGACCGGCCGCATGCGTCACGCGCCACCCAGCACAGCGCTCCGCGGCCCGTAAGGAGCCCCACAGACGGCCCCAGTGGCACCGCCCGCATGCGTCACGCACCACCCAGTACAGCGCTTCGTGGCCCCATAGGGAGCCCCACCGACGGCCCCAGTGCCACCGCCCGCATGCGTCGCGCACCACCCAGCACAGCGCTTCGCGGCCCCAAAGGAAGCCCCACCGACGGCCCCAGTGCCACCGCACGCCGTCACGCACCACCCAGCACAGCGCTTCGTGGCCCCAAAAGGAGCCCCACCGAAGGCCCCACTGGGACGGCCCGCGTGCGTCCCGCACACCCAGTACAGCGCTTCGCGGCTCCAAAGGGAGCCCCGCCGACGGCCCCAGTGCCACCGCCCGCCGTCACGCACCACCCAGTACAGCGCTCAGCGGCCCCAAAGGGAGCCCCACCGAAGGTCCCAGTGGGACGGCCCGCGCGCGCGAACCCTACAGCGCTTCGTGGCCCCAAAGGGAGCCCCACCGAAGGTTCCAGTGGGACCGTCCGCATGCGTCGCCCCCACCTAGTACAACGTTCCGTGGCCCCATAGGGAGCCCCACCGAAGGTCCCATTGGGACGGCCCGCGTGCGTCCCGCACACCCAGTACAACGTTTCGTGGCCCCAAAGGGAGCCCCGCCGAAGGTCCCAATGGGAACGCCCGCGTGTGTCCCGCACCCAGCACAGCGCTTCGTAGCTCCACAGGGAGCCCCACCGATCCGTGGCCCCATACAGAGCTCCACCGAAGGCCCCACTGGCAAAGTCCACATGTGTTCCCCCCACCCAGCACAAGGTTTCGTGGCCCATAGGGAGTTCCACCGAAGGTCCCAGTGGCAAAGTCCGCAAGCGTCTCCCCAGCCCAGCGCAACGTTTCGTGGCCCATAGGGAGCTCCACCGAAGGCCCGAGTGGCAAAGTTCGCATGCGTTTCCCCCGCCTAGCACAAAGTTTCGTGGCTCATGGGGCGCTCCACCGAAGGCCCCAGTGGCAAAGTCCGCATGCGTCTCCCCTACCCAGCACAACGTTTCGTGGCCTATAGAGAGCTCTTCTGGAGGCCCCAGTGGCAAAGTCCGCATGCGTCTCCCCCACCCAGTGCAGCGTTTCGTGGCCCATAGGGAGCTCCACCGAAGGACCCAGTGGCAAACTTCGCATGCGTCTCCTCCATGCAGCGCAGCGCCTCGTGGCCCCATAGGGGGCTCCACCGAATTCGATACCCACAAGCGCGGTATTCACAACTACACATGGTCGGGTCCTTCGCCAGGCTAATTTTGTTGATGTCGAGGTGGTTTGAGGTGGTTTACGGGTGGCCGGCGGGACGGGCCGAAGCCCCAGGGGGAGTTGTTTTGGACCACAAAACCAGAACGAAAAGCGAAAGGATTTTGCACGCCGGGCACCCCTGTGGCAAGCCAGCAGGGGGCGACGGATGACCTTCGGCCCATCCTGCCGCCGTGCTTGGGCTGTGGGTCTGAAGCCTCTTGGATGTTCGTTGGGATCTCGTGGGGGGGGGGCTCTCGGGGACCTGGAGGCAGTTTTGAAGCCTCTTGGGGGCCGTTTTGGAGCGAGGCCTCTTGGGGGCCCCTTAGGGCCTCTTGGCGGCCTCGTGGGGGGCATCTTGGGGCCTCTTGGGCGTCTCTCGGGGCCTCCTGCGGGCCTCTTGGGGCAGAAGGCTCGGATTCTCGGTTCGTGTTCCTTCTCTTCGGCCCCTTTTGGGGTCGTGTTGGGGCCCTGTTGGGCCGTCTTCCGTCTTGGGGTGGTCTTGGGGGCTTCTTGGGCCGCCTTGGAGCGTCGGGAAACAGGAATGGCGAGAAAGCCAAACACCTTGAAACAACGCATGGGAAATCACTAATTTTGAATTCCTGGGGCCCTATTGAGAGGTCTCTTGGAGGCCTCTTGGGGCGTATTGGAGGCTTCCTGGGCCTCCTGGGGGCCATCTTGCACGTTTTGGGCCGATCTTTGGGCGTATCGGGGGACCGTCTTTGGGGCCTCTTGGCGCCCTCTTGGCCCGTCCTGGGGCCCTCTTAGGCGCAAGAAACAAGTTATGCGACAAGATGCGCTTGAGCCCAGGGGGCACGCGAGAAGCCGCGGTAGATTTTGGAATTTGGGGTCCGGGCCTCCGTAGAGACTCCTCAGGAGTGCGTAAGGGATTGGGTTAAGGACCTTAGGACACGCCCACTCCGTGCTCAGCCGCACGGTAGCGGACATACTCAGAAAAACCAATGTTTCATTCATCGGTGTGAGCATATGGATGGGTATGCACATGTTCCCCAAAACGTGATTGCACTTAGGATCTCACATTTCTCTTCTGAGGAATTATGCCTGGGTAGCGGTCTGGCGGCTCCATGCCCGCCGTCACTACCCAGTCGCCGCCTCGTGGACGCCCGTCGTCTGGGCCTGGGCGGCGGTCTGGCGGCTCCGCGCTCGCCGTCGCCGCCCCGTCGCCGCGGCCTGGGTGGCAGTCTAACGGCTCCTTGCTCGCCGTCGCCGCCCCGTCGCCGCTTCGTCGCCGCCAATCGTCTGGGCCTGGGTGCCGGTCTGGCGGCTCCGTGCTCGCCGTCGCCGCCTGTCGCCGCCTAGATTGCACAACGTCGGTTGCACCGCATATATTCACAACATCCACATAGATAGCACCACATGTACTGTTCCGCATTCCTTGCTCGGCAAACATTGCACAACATAGGCTTCCTTCCTAATAGAAATGAGGGGCTGCCACCCTCCTGGAATTATTTAATCGCTTCGCTCATTCCGCCGGCCCGTATTGTGCCATCGCAGGCGTTTGCTTGCGCGTTCGTGGCCTCTTGGAGCCTCGTTGGGGCCGTTTGGGGCCTCTTGGCGCCTCTTTTTAGGCTTCTTGGAGAACTCCGGAGGCCTCCAGGGGGCCTCCTGAGCTCTCGTGACGGTCTCTTGGGGGGCTTTCGGCGGGCTCTTGGCGGTATTTGTTGGTCCTCTGAGCTTATTGGGGCGTCTTGGGGGTGTCTTGGAGAGTCTCTTGAGGCCTCTTTCGGGGTCCTGGGCGCCTTCTGGGGCGGAGGGCTCGATTTTTCAGTTTTCGGTTCCCTTCTTGAGCCCCTTTTGGGCCCGTCTTGGGGCCTCTTGGTCCGCCTTGGGCGGCACTTGGGCCGTCTGGGGGGCGCTCTTGGGTCGCTCCGGGGCCGTCTTGGGAGCCTCGTGGGCCGTCTTGGAGCAGTCTTGAAGGCCTCTTGGGCCCTCTTGGAGCGTCCGGAAGCGAAAAGGCCAGAACGCAAAAAAACATAGAAAAAACCAATGAAAATCAACGATTTTGGCAACTTGGGGCCCTCTTCGGAGGCCTCTTGGAAGGCCCTTGGAGCGTCTTGGAGGCCTCTTGGGCTGTCTTGGGGCCATCTGGGGCGTCTTCGGGCGATCTTTGGCCGTCTCGGGCCTCTCTTGGACCGTCTAGAAAGCTTCTCGGGGCCCTCTTGGACCGATCTGGAGCCCTCTTGGACTCCGAAACAGAACTCCGGCATCTCTGACCCGACCTTGCCGGGACCTTGCCGGGGTACTTTTTGTCCGGGGACCCCCAGGGGCCGCCCCGCGCGCGCGAATTAGAAATATTGTTAACCAGGTACCGGAGATCTTAGCACGCCCTGGCCCGTTGGGCCGGCGAATGTGCACCCCCTGGGATAGTGCGAGTTTCGTATGATTATGCCCTATCGTTTCAGATTTGAGGTCTCATAAAGCCAGCTAAACCCCTTATCGCCGCCCCCTTGTTACCCCGGTCAAATAGCACTACGCGCGCAAACTCATTTATCCAAAGTCTACAGTTTCCCAAAAAAACAAAAACAAAAACATGCACACAGTCGACACGCGCGTTTGCCGCGCACGCGCGCCGAAATCACTCAAGCACCTTCGGTTTCGTGCGGGTTGCATGGCCCATGCTCCCAAACCAGTCAGAGGAATTACTGTTGCGCAACATGATTTCCAGAGCAACCACAAGCATCGCGCGCGCTCTTGCGAGCCGAACATGTCCATCACACACGAACAAGCTGGATCCTCACGCGCGCATGCCGAAATATCTCGAGCGCCCTTGCGCACTTGCGGGGGGTATGATTTTTCCAATAATGCCATGCGTGCCACGCGCGCCCGTCAGCCGCGCGCGTACGTCGAAATCTTTCTGGAACCTTCATCGCCGACACGTGGCCACCACCATCGTCATCGGCGTGCTGAGCATCGGCGCCGTCACTGGCTTTGCCGCCATCGTCGCCATCGTCGCTACCAGCATCCTTGCTATCATCATCGCGCCTGCCGTTGACGACAAGGCCATGATTCCGCGCCCGCCCGCGTCGCCGACTCGCACAGGAGCGCTTGCGCGTCAGCGCGGCTTGCGACACGTGGTGGGGCGCCCCCAGCGTTTAGCGCCGCCGCGGCCGCGTCGGTCGACCAGATTAGCTTGCCGCTCAGCGCGCGAGGCGGCACGCGCTAGCGCGGCCGCGGCGATGCGCCAGCCAGCGCCAAGCAGGCATCGCAATCGCCACCGCATGGGCGTTGCAAACCAAGTTGCGGATGGGTTTTGAGGATGATTGCGCGAGCAGCGAGGCTGGCAATGCACTGGTGAGCATTCGGCATTTTGACGGCGTAGATTGCACCGCGTATGGTATACAAAAGGAATTAGAATATATCCCCCCCCCCCCCCACCACCACCACCACCACCACCACCCCACCACCCACCCACCCGCCCACCCCACCCCACCCCACCCCCCACCCCCCCAACCCAACCCCACACGACCCAAGATTATCGACCCATCGCAGGGATGTGCACAGTACATATGAGTTTGCCCCACCGTTTTTGATATGAATTCACAGCATCCCAGGCAAGCCAAGCCCCCCCCCATTGTTCTCGTCATGAGCGCTTATTCGTTGAACAACAACCATCCATGCGCAATCGTCCCTTACGAAAGCGGGACGACGCGCGCGCGCTCGCGTCGTCGCGCGCACACGCGGACGTCTTTGAAAACCATCCGTGTCGGACAAATTTCAATGTCAACTGTCCCAGCGCACATGGTTTTGCAACATGAGTCTTCAAAAAAAGAAAGTTGCGCCCCTGCGAATTCTTACGAAAACCGTTGCTTGCCCTCGTCAACCAGTTCTTGAATTTCGACAAACGGGACCCTCGCGCGCGCATGCCGAAATCATTCGAACGCCTTGCGCGCGTGCTGGGGGAGGGGGGGCGGCCCCTGTCAAATAATGTCATGCGGGCCATTCGCGCCCGTCGGCCGTGCGAGCATGCCGAAATCGTTCAGATACCTACATCACCGACGCGTTGACATCACCATCGTCACCAGCGTGATGAGCATCGGCGCCGTCATTGGCTTTGCCGCCATCGTCGCCATCGTCGCTACCAGCACCCTTACTATCATCACCGTGCCTGCCGTTGGCGACAAGGCCATGATCCCGCGCCCACCCGAGTCACCGATTCTTACTGGAGCGCCTGCGCGTCAGCGCGGCTTGCGACGCGTGCTGTGGCGACCCCAGCGTCTAGTGCCACCGCGGCCGCGTCGGTCGCACCAGACTAGCTGGCCGCTCGGCGCGCGCGGCGGCGCGCGCGAGCGCGGCCGCGGCGATGCGCCAGCCAGCGCCGAGCAGGCATCGCAATCGCCGCCGCATGGGTGTTGCAAACCAAATTGAGGGTGGGTTGGGGCGATGATTGCGCGAGCAGCGAGGTTGGCAGTTTCGAGTTCGGCAGGGCGAATTGTACCACATCGATTGCACCACCTCGACTCCCCACATCGATTTTTCCACAAAGATTGCACACCATAGTTTGCGCAGCACCGATCGCACAACATATATTGCATACCATGGTTTGCGCAGCATAGAGTGTCCACCTAGACTGCACAGCATATATTGGCGAAAAAACATTGTGCGCATACGTAAACGCCAGGCAGCAATGCGCGGCGCGATTCGGCACGAAAGGCGGGCCTTTGGGGGGCCGTTTTGCGCGGGAAGTGCAACAATAAGCGGCCCGTGGAGTGGAGTCTGCGTGAAATCTGCTCACGAGAAGACGACATCCTTAGCCGGGGGGGGGGGGGGGGCAAACGCACCGTTTGCACCGCAACGCCGTTGCGGATTCTGGCTGGGATCATGTTTAAAGCCGAAGTGACCCCGCCCGCGGTATTAGCCGACGTACCCGAGCCCTCAGCAGGAGCAAATTGCTCCGACCCTGGGGACAGCATCCCGTCGCACTGTTGCGAGGGCATCATACCGTCGGCCAACTTCGTCGAGAGTTGCGACTGCAACCCAGGATGGACGCACCAGGAGCGCATGTGTAAGGGCCACCTCACCACGATGCCTTGCCACGAGTGCACGGCACACTTGCCCGCGACGAACCGCTGGTCGAAGAGTTTCTCCAAGGAGGAGCTCTACGAGAACTGTCAAGAGTGCGTCGCGAAGTGCACGACGACGCTGAACGGGGGCGAGCGCGGTCCGTTCATGACCGACATATTCGCCAGCAAGTTTCCTCAGGAGGAGCCGAGCGCCGTGATCTGCACCGCAGGCCATCCTCTGCCCTACGGGAAGTTCACGCGACGTTGGCGCGCCAGCGACGCCGGCGAAGGCGTTCAAGGTTGAATTCTGCGACGCGGAGGCACCGAGGGACACAGTAACGCCGTTGGACCCGACGGAGTCCAGTTTTGAACGATCGGGGCCGCGATCGATTCAAGGTTGAACGATCGAGGCGATGTCAAACACCTGCGCGCGCGCCCACGCCGCGCGAACTTACCGTGTCCTCCCCGTCCTCCTTCTCGTTCCTATGGTTTTGTAGGGCCCATTTCCGCATGCTCTCCCGTCCTACCTTTGTCCATTCCGCCCTCGTCATCTCTCCTCCTCCTCATCATCATCATTATCATCATCCTCCTCGTCCTCTTCTTCCTCCTCCTCCTCCTCCCTCCTCGCTTGTTTTCCTCCTCATCTCATCCTCATGTGCCACCCTCCGCGCTCTCTTTTCTTCTCTTCCTCGAAGCTTGGAGTTAGCGGCAGTTCTGTCCTTCCTCCTACTCGACAGCATCGAGCAGGAGGCCCAGGCACGGCGAGGGCGGTGACGGCAGAGAAATTGTCCGTTGGGTCAAGCGTCGGCGTGGCATTCGACGCCGGGCCGTCGCTGTGGCGGCGGCCATTGGCAGCCCCACGATATAAGTCCTGGCCGAGCCCCCAGCGGTGAGGACAACGAATGGCACATAAGTCCAGTGTTAAGCCGGGCGCGTCCCTCTGCGGGGGGAATGTTCAAGAATAGTCCAACAATGCTCTGGGGACGCTTTTTGGCGCACTTGTTGTGCAAGTTTTGAGTATTTGTTGACTGTGTTGTACGTTTGTTCGACCAAAACCCGCCTGCATGGGGACACGCCCGACCCAACCCCAGCGGTGAGGACCGCGGATGGCACGTCCGTCCAATGGCCCAGGGGTGGACCGAACGGTGCGTTGGCGATTTCGTGGGCCGTTTTCGTTCGACTTCGTTTTGCTGTAAAGGCGGATTCGAGACACAAGCTAGAGTAAACATAAACAGCACGAAGACGAAAACACCGTTTAGGTTCAGCCCTGCGGCACATCCGCCCAGTGGCCCACGGCTCCTGGGCGAGGCGGCGCCCGGGCGGCGCCCGGCAGAGGGCCGGCCCCGCTCTTGCGCCTCGTCGGGAGGGGCCCGTCGGGTGCGCGCCGCCTGCCGCAACTGGGGGCCCTGCTGCGCGCCGCGGGCGGCCTCGGAGTCTGTCAGGCGGCACCTTCCCCTCCTCCTCATCCCCTTCCTCCTCCCCCTCCTCCTCTTCCTCCTCCTCCCCCTCCCCCTCCTCCTCTTGTGCTTCGTCGGGGGGGATCCGTCGGGGGCGCGCCGCCTGCCGCAACGGGGTGCCCTGCTGCGCGCCGCGGGCGGCCTCGGAGTCTGTCAGGCAGCTCCCAGCTCGGGCGTAACGGCCCTCATCGGGCGAGGTCGGGCCGATGCTGGGTCTTTCGGAGAGCCTCGATGTAAACCGTAAGGGTCTATAGATAGCTCCCCCCAATGAGGGGGTGCGTTGTTCTTTGTTCGGCGACCTGATTGAAGGACTGGGGCATCAAAACAACAGACCCTCTGGGGTTATGCACCACGTCGTTCGGCCTGCCACGGGGCCAAGGAGTTCGTCGAAGGGCTTCGGTGCATAGGCGCTCCAGCGCCCCACAGGTCTAGAAGCTGGGCCGTCTGTGCACCGAGCCCCTTGGCCGACCAGGCGACTTGGCGCGCTCGTCGAGCCCCTTCCCAGTGCCGGGCCAGCCGCCGCGAACATTCGAGCGCGCAGTCCCGTCGGGCTGTCGAGGACCGCCTCGTTGATCCGGGAGCGGTGCCAGAGTCTGTTGAAGACTGCCTTCGAGTCGCGCAGCAGACCGCCCGGCGGGAGCCACGAGTCACAGCGGTTTATGGACGCTGTCGGACAGAGCGCTTCGGCCCCGATCGGCCCAGGCGGCCGATATGGGTCTGCTTCATCAAACGGAGAGGCGCGTGCGCGCTGGCCGTGCGCGACGACGGCGCGGCGAGGCAGGACGAGCGCCCGCCGTTTCTCCTGCGCTGTGGCCACGCCGAGGACCTGGACGACGATCGGCACGTCGAATTCGCGTTACTCCTCGTCGGGGCTGTCGAAGCGGGCGTTGCATTGCATCCACGGCTGAGCTGGCATCGCCAGACGGCATTGTTGGCTTGCCTGGTCGCGTAGAGCCGCACGCACGGCTAGACGCAGGAGCCATTCTCATCGCCACACCCGCGTGGATGCTCCACTCCTGCATTTTCCCTTCCTCATCCGTCCCATCCCATTTCTCCTCGCGCGCCCCATCCCTCCCCCCCATTCCCTCCCCACCCCGTCTCCTACTCCATCCCCCTCCCTCGCCCCCTTCCGCCCCTCCCCCTTCCATCGCCATTCCTTCCTCCGCCCGCCTCACGCTGCCATCACACCCCCCCCATCTTCTCGCCCATCCCCCCTCCCCCCGAAGGTTACTTGGAGCAGCAGCTGATGAGGGAAGACTATCCCCTCGGTGCGAAGCGGGCGCTATACAAGCCGCCCAGGATGCTCGCCGACGACGACCGCCGCCAGCCCTCGGATTTCAAAGTCGCCGGCATCGGCGTGTGAGACGGCTCTGGGCCCCAAGAGTTCGTCGTCATCGTCCTCGCCGTTCGTCGTCGGTGACTGTCCAGGGGAGGGGGCGGAGGTGGAGGAGGAGGACCGGGGGGGGGAGGAGGAGGAGGAGGAGGAGGAGGAGGAGGAGGAGGAGGAACATTATCATGCGAGCAGGTCCCAGGTGCAAGCTCGACCGCAGAGAAGTCGCCCCCCGCCCCCTTTCGCAACAACAGATGTCGAAGGCAGGTTACTGGTCACGCTGCAATGTGGAGAGGGCTTCCAGCCCTTTGGCAGTTGAGGGGGGGGGGGGGGTGCGTTCATCACAAAATTTGCCGGGATGCTGCGCTACGCTACTCCCGATCGGTCCGAAGGCCGTGCCAATCTAGAAATTAGGGGGGGAACCATTTGGGCCGTGCTTCTGGCCTCTGGGCGCTCATGCGATCGCGGTGCATGGACTGTCTGCACCCTAGGGGCCCTTGTGGGGAGCGGTGTGCACGAAAACGGCCCGCAGCTCGCACAGGACAGGACGCTTCCCAAAGACACTCCCAGAGTGCGAGACGGAGGGCAGTCGGCAGCCCATGGGTGCCCCCCAGAACAGGCCCAATGGCCAGGGGAGCCAGAGACAGGCTCGGCGACCTTGCCCACAAGTTGTAACGGCACCTCAGAGGTGAGGAATTGTGGGTCATGATGGTTTGTCTCATGTCATCTGGTGATGGGGCTGCGGGGAGGCCGCCCCCCACAGCGAGGAGTGAGTCGGCCAAGGGAGGGCCCGCGCGATCTGCGTGGGCCACGTCCGCAGAGAAGCGGGCGAACAGGCCTGAGGCACCTCTGGGCTGGCACTTGCGGGGCCAGGCATCAGGCAGCGGGCTGCTTCGGGAAATATGCGGAAACCAAAGGGCACCGATACCGCTACTCCCCGGACCCGTCCCAGGGTGCGTTCTGACCAGGATTTCGAGGCGAATCCCGCGGTGGCGACGAGAGAAGCCCAGGAGGCCCAAAAGAGGGAAAACGAGGAGAGGGCAGAGGTTTGGGCACCGTTTCTTCCTTTGAAAGGAGAGCGGGCGCTCCGGCAGCACGAGAGCACAGCTGGCCTCGGGGGCCGGACCGCGGGCCCGCCCGCGCGGCGGCCTCGCGGCGGGAGCAGGTCCTCGGATGCGGCGGCCCGGCCTGCGCCTCGCGGGCCCGGGCCCTCACGCGCCCGGCCGCGGCCGCTCGTGGAACGCACCTCCGCTGGACGGCGGGGAGGCGCCCAACAGCCTGCGCCGCGGGGGTTATGGCGCAAGCAGTGGCGAGGCGTCCCGGCTCGCCCATGGCCCTACCAGACAATGCTCTAAGAACCTGTTGTGGTTCCCACGAAATGTTCTTAGAGCAGTTCTGGCGGGGTCTGTCCTGTTTGATCACATCGGGCATGTGTTCTAGGAGTAGCGTTTTTGCTCTTAGAACAGTTTTTGGGGTTCCAAGCACATTTCGTGGTAGGGCTGCAGACATGCCAGGACGGCCGGTCCCTGCTCAAGTATGAGCATGAAGGCGAGGGAAGAACAGCGGGGACCATGACCAGGATGTCGCATGATCGCGCCCAGGTTTGCCTGGGTCATGGCCCATGTCGACCGTCGCCCATTCGCGAGGATCTCCACGAATCGACGCTGACCCATATCGGCGCTGGCCAAGGTCAACACGACGTTTCCGCGTTCAGTGTTAGTGATAGTCCCCGTTTTCCCCTCCAGTATCAAGGGTCAATTTCACGAGATCGGGAGGGGCTGCACCTGCCTGGGCAGCCTCGCCAGCGAACGACAATGCCACCCTTTGCAAACACCGTTCACCAAAGCGCAATCCTGGTTGTTCGGGCTGGGCTTGGGCGGGGTATCCCCACCGACCCATCCAGCACAGATTCCCAGGCGAGCTGCTTCAATTAGGCAAGCGCAGGAACATGCAGTGATACAGAGAGACGGGGGGGGGGGGGGGGCAGCCGCCCATCACCTGCATTCTGCCCGTTCACATCTGATTGTTTGAGTTGCAGGGCCTTCCGTCGGGGCGCTACGCACGCCATGCTGGCATAGTCTTGACTCGTCCGTGTCAGCAAAGAGGCTCGAAGACGCCAGGAATCGCTCACAGATTCCTTGCGTGAGGGAGGGTAAGGACGATGATGAAAAGGAGGTAAGAAAAACGAGTGGGCGAAGGAGGATGGCGACGACGACGACAACGACGACGACGAAGAGGAGAGGAAGGAGAGCGAGGAGGAAAGGGAGGAAACGGAGGAACAGGAAGAAAACGAGAAGGACGCAGAGACGAGCAGGTGTTGCTGAGGTGTGCAGAGCCATCGCATGGGATTGCAGGGTCGTTGTGCAGAGTATTGTTCTGGCATCACGGCCGGTGCCGGCGACCCTGGAATATTACTTCCATGATGAAGGTGGCAGCCGGAGGTGGGTAGGTCGGGACCAGACGCCTTGAAGAGCTCCCCAGAGGCCCCATGATGTTCCTAGAAGCGTCGAAGAGACCGCATGATGTTCCCGAGAGGCTTAGACCCACAAAGGCGCACGGAGGTTTAGGAAGGTCCCCAAGAGGTCCCAAGCGGCCCCCAGAAGCTTTGAGGAGGCCTAAGGAGGCCCCGAAATCTCTCCAAGAGGGTCACAACAGGCTACCAAGAGGCTCCCAAGCGTGCTCCAAGAGGACCCTGTGAGGTCAAATCATATCCAACCCAACAACAAAACGCATGTTCGTAGAAGGTATGCCGAATAGTGGGAAGAGTATCATCGTAGAAGGTCGTGGCATGCTGGTGAAGTTTGCGAGGAGGCGGTCGAAGGGAGGATCGGCGGCGAGCGAGGGGGGGAAGTGAGAAGGAGCGGGCCTTCTCGGGACCCCCCTCGGTCTTTTGTTAAGTTCTCTGAGCCTTCCCCAAAGACGCAAAAGACTTCCCAGGAGGCCAGAGGGCTTCTGAGAAGCCCCGCTGTTTTCTGAGAGGGCATTATCCTTCTCACTTCCTCCCCTCGTTCGCCGCCGAGCGGAGCGAGGAGGAAGACGAGAGATGGAGGCACTGGCGGAAGGGGCACGAGGGAGTCGAGCAGTGGGGGGATGGGCGGCCGTGGAGGTCGGGGAGTGCAGCTCCGGCGAGGAGCAGAGCCTGGCCGATCTGTCTGAGCCAGGGATGGACCTAAACAGTGTTTTGGCGATTTCGTGGGCCGTTTTCGTTTCGATCCCGTTTCGCGTTAAAGGCGGATTGAAGACAAAACGAGGGAAAACGAAAACAAAACGAAAACGAAAAACACCGTTTAGGTTCAGCCCTGGTCTGAGCGTGTGACCCCGCAGCCGCTGAGGGTCCTTGGGGGAGCGGGGGGAAATCTGGAGAGGGGGGAGGCGAGGGAGCAGGAGGAGGACGAGGAGGAGGAGGAGGAGGACCAGTGCAAGCCCAAGAGTCATCAACGGTGTTGGAATTAACCCCTCCAAGCTCCCTCTTCAAAGGCCCCATACAACGGTTCATTTTCACTGAGGGAACTGCCTCGTTGAAAGACAATCGCTTGAAGGCTTTGCAGCATGCCAAAACATTGTTCGAGGGATTTCCACGCCACGGATCAGCATACCTGCTGAATCCAGACGATCTGGAATCTTGCCAGGACACAACTTTTTGGAATTTCAACACCGCGAATCAACATAACTGTTGCACCCGCATAATCTTGAATCCTTCAAAAAACCATGATTGGTACGCTGATCATGGGAATCCGTGAAACTTCTGCAAATGTTTAGAACGAATGTGCGCGGCGCTGAGGCGAGAGCCAGATTTTGAAAACGATTCCTCTTCAATCCGGGAAATTCTTGAAATTGTTCAAGACGACTGTGCGCGGCGCTGAGTCGAGAGCCACATGTTGAAAGGACCCGCTCTCAATCCGTGAAGCTCTTGCAATGTTTAACACGAATGCGCGCGGCGCTGAGGCGAGAGCCACATTTTGAAAACCACTCGCCCTCCATCTGTCAAACTGCTGTCATTTTCTAAGCTCTGGAGTCATGAATGGCGAGGAAGCCTCAAGCGAAACGCCCAGCCCCCCCTAAAACTTGGCCTGGGGGTGCGACAGGGAGAAGTTAGAAATAAGGAGAAGGAATGGAGGAGGAGGAGGAGGAGCAGGAGGAGGAGGACGAGGAGGAGAACGAGGAGGACAACGAGGAGGAGACCGAGGAGGAGAATGAGGAGGAGGATGAAGAGGAGGAGGAGGAGGAGAAGGATAAGACCTCTTCGGGGACTCGTCGGGGTCCCTTGGAGCCTCCTCGGGCTTCATGGCGGACTCTTGCGACCACTTGGGCCGTCTCGAGGGAATCGGGGCCGTCTTGAAGCGCTTTGCGTCGATGTGAGGCCCATCTTGAATTGTCTTGGACCAGAGTGCCAAAAGTAATCGAAAACGATTCTGGAATGGAAGGCGGGAAGGCCATTGTACTCTGATCCGGGACCACCCCCAGGACCCTTGGGACCCCTTTTGGGACCCTCCCCACCTCCCGGGCGGGGGACGGTTCGAAAAGAACGGTCGTCTCTTCGATTGGATTACGACATCGATGACAAGTTGGCTCGATTGACTTCGAGTTGACACGGTTGGCGAGCCAAAGAGGATCTCCGGGAATGAAGGGACAAATCGATCGATTCAAAGATCGTCACCCAGGACCACCCCAGAACCACCAGCGCAGATCTTCTTCACACACACACAGTGTTGGCGGACTCTACGGGGTCTGGATTACCAGGGATTGCAGGGTCGTTTTGCAGGGTGTCCCAAATATGCCCTTGGCGTTTTTTCCTGCCGTTTTCGACTCGGCGTCTTTGCTTTAGCGCTGTTAGATCCCAGCCAAAAACGAAACACTAAAAACGTATGATTAGTTGTTTTTTCAGTTTAAGATACGTTGCTTAGCGTTTTCAGATCAGTTGATATTGTTGCTTACCATTGCCATCTACGACGTCCTCAGTTCGTTCTTCTTGCGTCTAGCCCTCCCTCCTGTCGTATGATTATGTTTTCCTTTTGAAATTATCCTTCCGTCGCTGCTGGCTGGACACGGGGCGTCTGGGCCTGTTTGGCGCCGGTGTCAGGGCGGTGGTAGGGCGTGTGCTGCGTTTCCTGATCTGCGCGCGGAGCGGGAGGAACGGGAGGCAACAGGAACGGGAGAGCGGGAGCGAAGACGGCAGGGATGACAAGGAGCAGCCGTCGACAAGAAAGCAACCCCCCCAACAAAAAAAAATGCGATCCACAGCGACGGGCATAACGCTAAAATGACCACCTGCAAAACGCTAAAATAACGTCGCGTTTTTTTGTATTGCGTTTTTTTATGTGTAAAGATCCGAAAGTACAAAACAGTCGTCTTCAGGGCGAACCAAGCCCAACGGGAACGGCACAAGCCGTCTAGCTCACTCCCACCAGCCCGCTCACCACATAGATAGCACTCGAAACTCAGCCTCGGCAGAGGTAACCATCGGATGGACACTAGTTGGCAAGCAGGGCAGACGCCATGTGTGCAACCTCGCGAGTTACGTTACGCGTGCCAGGTGCGCTGCCAGCACGAAGTGCTCCAAGGGCCCGAGCGTGCCCGACGCGCCGGATGCGCCACCTGCGCGACACGCACAGGGTGCACCCAGGTGCGCCAGGCGCGCGTGGCAGCACACCTCGAGCAAGACGTCGGCCCCCCGCCCATCCGTGTCGAAAGCCCTGCCAAAGTGGCGGCGGGGCGAGCAGGATGGCGCATGGGCGAATTGGCCGTTTTCTGCTCCGATTAGCGCATTGGCCGTTTTCTGTTCGCGAGATGACGTCGCGGCCGTCATTTTTGCGGGTACAGGTCCGTCGGTTTCGGTCCTAGGCCGTTTTTATTACAGGGTGAATAATGGGACAGCGCTCAGCGGACAAATGAAATACTCGCCCCCCTGCCATTCTAGTCAGAATCCATACACACTTCTTGCGAAGATTCCGCGAACGATCCTGATTTTGCCCCCACTTGTTCCCAACCGCCCTGTGGTGTTGGGCACTCGTTTTGAAGAGACAGCGCCCCGCGTCCCACCTCTCCTCTTTTCTCCCCCCTCCTCCCCCTCATCCCTCCTCTCACCGTTGCCTCTGCTCTCTCGCATGCCCTTTTCGGCACACAAATCACACTGTTCGTGGCCCCATAGGGAGCTCCACCGAAGGGCCGAGCGGCAGCGTCCGCATGCGCCCAACCCGCCCACCACATGCCCATTTCGGCACACCCTTCACACGGCGCGTGGCCCACAAGGGAGCTTCACCGAAGGCCCCAGCGGCAGCGTCCGCATGCGCCCACCGCGCCCGCCGCATGCCCATTTCGGCACACCCCTCACACGGGGCGCAGCGTGCGCAGCGCATCAGGTGAACAACAAGGCTTCAGTGGCAGCCTCCGCATGCGCCCATCCCGCCCACCGCATGCCCATTTCGGCACACTTCTCACACGGTTGTTGGCCCCATAGAGGCAAAGTCCACATGCGCCCACCGCGCCCGCCGCATGTCTATTTCAGCACACTTCTTACACGGTTCGTGGCCTCATAGGGAGCTTCACCGAAGGCCCCAGTCACAGGGTTCGCGCGCAGTTCCCCGCCCACCGCATGCAAATTTCGGCACACCCTCACACGCATCGTGGCCCTGCAAGGAGCTGCACCAAAGGCCCCAGGGGCAAATTCCACATGCGGCTCTCCGCCCGCCGCGTTCCACTTTCGGGCTCCCCGCCCGCCGCACGTCCATTTCGGCACACCTCTCACAAGGTTCGTGGCCCCATAGAGAGCTCCACCGAAGGCCCCAGAGGCAAAGTCCACATGCGGCCCTCCGCCCACGGCATGTCCATGTCGGCACACCCCTCATACGGTTCGAGGCCCCATCTGTAGTTCCACCAAAAGCCTCAGCGGCAGGGTTCGCATGCAGCTCCCCGCCCACCGCATGTCCACTTCGGCACACCCTCACACGGCTTCGTGGCGCCGCAGGGAGCCCCACCGAAGGCCTTCGTGGCAGGGTTCGCATGCTGCTCCCCGCCCACCGCATGTCCAGGTCGGCACGCCTATCACACATGTCTTGGCCCTGTAGGGAGCTCCCCCGAGGGCCCCAGTGGCAGGGTTCGCATGCTGCTCCCAGCCCACCGCACGTCCATTTTGGCACACCCCTCAAACGGTTCGTGGCCCCTCACGAAGCTCCCCCGAGGGCCCCAGTGGCAGGGTTCGCGCGCGGCCCCCCGCCCACCCCATGTCCATTCTGGCACATCTCCCACAAGTTTAGTGGCCCCATGTGGAGCTCCACCGAAGGCCCCTGTGGCAGGGTTCGCATGCGGCCCCGCTCGCCGCGAGTCCATTCTGGCGCACCCCTCACGCGGTTCGTGGCCCCATAGGGAGCTCCACCGAACGCCCCAGTGGCAGGGATCACACGTGCCCCGGCACGCCCCTCATACGGTTCTTGACCCCGTAGAGGCCCCGCGTTCTTCGTATCATTTGCCTCGCGATATTCACACCTACACATGGTTGCGTTCTTCGCCCGGATAATTCTTGGCCAATTTGTTTCGATGGGGGTGGTGGGGGGGGCTCACGGTTCCTGGTCGGCGGTTGGTCGAGTAGCAGAGGGGGTGGCAAACCGTTTCGGGGGCTTTGGAAGACCTGACCCGTTCAGCCACCGACGCCCACAGGATCAGCGGGACTGCCTGCTGGAGCGCGCCCCCCACGCCACGCGGTCTCCAGCCCCCCCTCCATCGGCTGTTCTGGGCCCGCCTGCCCGGACGCACGTGCTCCGCAGCCCCTCCTTCACCCGAAAAGCCATCGTCGCGCCGTCGTTTGCCACGCTTGCGCCCACCTCTCGGCACAAACGAGATGGGCACGGAGAGGCTGGGCACAATGCCCAACAGCAGTTCCTCTGCATTTTGAGCAGGACTCGCCGTCCGCGCCGCGGCATGTGCCCACTTGAGACACACGGCCGCCCGCCCAACAGCGGCCGCTGTTCGTTTACAGCCTTTGCTGTTGGACATTGGGCCCATTTGTTCTGTGCCCATTTCGGGCGTCCAGGACCTTCGCCCCTCTGTCTTCCCTGGTCGCCGCTCCCTCCGCGGCCTTATCCCCTTCTCCTTCCCACCCTCCCTCGCAGTCCTCGCCCTCCTCGTTGTCCTTCCTGCACCGCCTCCGTCCCAACGTCACCCCATGCACAAACACGCCGGCGCTTCCCGTCCGTCTGGCCGTTGGGGTGGCTCAGCCCTTAAATCACGTGTTATTTCATGGGCGGGAAAATGGACGAGGATGGCCAAAGCTGCCACTGTCACCACGGGCTTTGGGCGGTGCGCGCCCTGGCAAACGCGATTATGTTCGGTGCAGTGTTTTCTTTCTCTGTGCCGTGGGGGTTCTAAGTGGATAGGGGTTGCACGGTGTTCATTTCGAATTCTTCGAGGGTTCTTTGATTTTTTTGGGGGCCAAGATCCGTTCATTTCTAATTGTTCTATCCTGGGCCTCCTCCTGGCCAGCAGGGGCCGGGAACAATTAGAAACGGGCACAATTAGAAACGAGCACGATTAGCAATGAACGACGTGCACAAGTGGATGCTAACATGGTTTATATTTGGCCCAACTTGGCTCATCAGTGGGTCACCCGTGCCCCGAGTGGCTTAAGGGGGGTTAGATAACTCCGCTAAGTGGGCCGAGCCCGCTTAGCCCGGATCGTCAGCTCCCTAAGTCGCTCGGCGCGTTGGTATCCGTTTTGTAAGCCAGGTTGGGCCAGATATGACCCACCTTGGCATCCACTTGTTACCCCCCCACGGTCATCCCGGCGGGGCGTGCCAGAGCGACCGGGAAGCGATGGTTTCGGTTCCTGCGGACCCGGCGGGCCCGCGCCAGCCCGCTCGCGGCGGCGCCAGCGAGGCGTTCCGCGTGGCCATGGACTCCCTGATGCGGAAGGAGGAGCACAGGGAGCAGGGCCCGGGGCACGTGCTGGCGGAGGCCGGCCGTCGCAGCCGGAGGTGCGGAGAGGGAATCGGTGGCTCGTCGCGCTCGGGCCGCCTTGACATCCGAGAGGCCCCTCGTGGCCGCAGCGGGGCGGAGCTCGAAAGATTGGCCAGGAGTCACTCCGGGAGTTGTCCTGGGAAAGTTGACCAGCGGATGCTGCCAAGACTTCTTGGCGATTCTGAAACATCCGCGTCGGAAGGTCGTCTCGATGTTTCGACGCCCAGGGATCCAGGGACCGTTCCGAGCCTCGGGGCCGTGGAAGGGTTCGAGAGCTCCTTGGGCCGGCAACCCGAACAAATCCATTTGTTTGGGGGGCGCGTGCTGTAGGCGATGAGCGAGGGGGCAGCGAGGGCTGCAGAAAGGGGCCCTCTCGGGCCCCAAAGGAGGCTTCTCGGGCCCGACAAGGGCACACCCCTGCCCCCCCACACATTGATCGCCCCGCCATGAAGTCGCGCTCTTTTTTTTTTCATTGAGGATAGAAGAACCCCCCACTCGAATCGCACGATGAAGACGTAGCCTCACCGAGGTCCCCGTCTTCGCATTAGGGATAGTAAAGCTGGGCGGTTTGGTTCGAAACGTCGGCAGCAAAGACCCCCTATCCCTAGTGCTCCTGGCCCTCCCAACTCAGGTCCCCCCTCAAAGGGTCAGGGGTCCTTTGCTGGTGGATCAAGCTTGTCGGAGGCCTGCCGAGGGGGAGGGGCGGGGTCCGTGCGGCGGCCTTCCCAGAAGTCGCCCCCCCCGCCCTCTGAGGGGAGCGGGGCGCCCCGCTTCTTGTTTTTTGTTGGGGGGGCCGCCCTGCTGTGGCCCGCCCTGCTGTGGCCCCTTCGCCGAGCCCTCCTCTGCGCGCCGCCGGGGGCGCGGGGGGCGCACGCGGGGGAAGAGCAGAGGCCAGCGGGGGAGGGAAAGGGGGTCGGCGGAGAGGGGGGTCTAGAACGACGAGGAGGAGGGGGAGGAGGAGGGAGGAGGAGGAGGAGGAGGAGGAGGAGGAGGAGGAGGAGGAGTCTAGGTGCGTCATATCTGACATCCTACCCCTCCCTCCCATCCCTTACCATGGCGTAGATCCCCTCTCTACTGGCACAGTCGGATGTCGAGCAGGGCAATGATCCCGAAAGGGTACGCGATGCATTGTAGAACACGGCATGGCATGGCGTAGAAGAGCACCGCAAAGCGTAGTATGTCACAGCATGGCGTGGCGTGGCGTAGTGAAGAATTGCATCACAAAGCTTTGCAACGCAAAGCATGGCATCGCACAGCGGCCCCGAACATAACATTGCATAGCATGGCGTTGAAGATCAAAGCGTAGCATGGCATAGCACGACGTGGCACTTCAGCATTGCATATTACAGCTTCAGCCGAAGGCATGGTATCGCGCAGCGGAACGCAACCAAGCATTGCATTGCATGCCGTGGCATGGCACGGGAAATGACGCCAGCGCTGCAGCGGGAGCACGATTCGGAACGAGCGGAAGCGCGGAAATGAGGCCAGCGCTGCAGCGGGAGCACGATTCGGAACGAGCGGAAGCACGGAAATGAGGCCAGCGCTGCAGCGGGAGCACGATTCGGAACGAGCGGGGCCCGAAAATGAGGCCGGCGCCTCAGCGAGAGCAGCATTTTGAAAAAAAATGCAGGCGAAAACCCAACTCCGGGGAATCTTGTGAGTAAAAAAACAGTATGCGGGGGGGGGCGAACACTCCCAACCCGTCATCAGGTGAAAAAGGAGAGCAGTATTCATATTGAGCAATTGTGGAGGAGGAGGGAGCAGCAGTGTCTTCGTTTGGACTCCCCGGCAAGGCTGGGCGGGGGTTGCAGGACAGGGCACGGCTCGGTAGCTGCAGAACGGGCGGCAGAGGTGTAGAAGCGTGGCCCTCCTGGCATTTGCCACCCCTGCACCCGAGACTCGACGCCGCAGCATTGTCTCCAAATGATCGTAGACCGCAAGCTCAGCAATCTGTCCGACCGCGGCTCCGACCAGAGTGCAACGTGACCCGCCTCAGTGAAAGTGCGTGTTCTACCGCTGCTGGCGGAAAACCGGGAGGGGTCACTACCGGTTCGAACCCCTCCCCCCCCCCCCCCCCCCCCCCTCCGGAAAACCGGGGGGGGGTCACTACCGGTTCGAACCCCCCTCCCCCCCCCCCCCCCCCCAGCTCATCATGAAAAGGGGGGGGGTCACTACCGGTTCGAACCCCTCCCCCCCCCCCCTCGAAAACCGGGGGGGGTCACTACCGGTTCGAACCCCCCCCCCCCCTCGAAAACCGAGTGGGGGTGCGGACAGTGGTGGGGACGGTGTTGGTGGGGACAGTGGTGAGGGGATAGCGGGACAGTGGTGGGGACAGTGGGACAGTGGGACAGTGGTGGGGACGGTAGTGGTGGGGACAGTGGTGGGGACAATGGTGGGAACAGGGGGGGACAGTGGACAGTGGTGGTGACGGTGGTGGTGGGGACAGTGGTGTGGGGACAATGGGAATGAGGTGGAAACAGTGGGACAGTGGAGGGTACAATGGTGGTGGGGACAGTGGTGAAGGCGGTGGCGAGGACGGCGGTGGGACAATGGGACAAAGGTACAGTGGGGACAGTGGTGGGGACAGTGGGGACAGTGGTGGGAACAGTGGGACAGCTCAGTGGGACAGCGGAGGAGTCAGTGGGACAGTGGGGACAGTGGGGATAGTCGGGCAGTGGTTGGGGCCGTGGAGACAGTGGGGAGAGTGGAACCGTGGTGGGAACAGTTCTGGGGACAGCGGGGACAGTGCGACAGTGGTGGGGGCACTGGTGGGGACAGTAGGGGCAGTGGTGCCACCAGTGGGGGATGTGTTGCGGACGGTGGTGGGGACCGGGAGTCGTTTGCTGGCGGTGGAGTCGTTTGCTGGCGGTGAGTGGGTTGGGG